CAGCTTAAAATTGTTCTATTACTAAACATATATCATTTAAGCACTGATCAAAGAAACGCCCGTGGCACAGAAACATTATTGATTCCTCTTGTTATGCCTCACCCTGTTCACAGCCCTCATTGAGCCTCCGAAGCCGGCATGGCCAGGGGATGTTACAGCTCTGGTGTTTGCAAGGGAAAGGTGTTTATCCATCCTTGTGCATATAAAACACTTCTTTTGCCTGATGAATCATTAATCTGGGTTGTGCGCCCTGAGTGAGAAGCTTTCTGCCAGGGCAGGAGGGATGTGGTGGAAGGAAGAGGAGGATGCAACAAAGGTTTGCCATAACTGGTGGGGTCTGGTGTGATTTTTGGAAGCTCAGTGCCAGTTCTGATTTGCGATGCCTTTCAGCTGAGCCTGGTTTCAGCTTTACTGAAGGAAAGTGCTGAAGCTTCTTTGCCAGAAGTACTCGGTGAGCAGCCTGTGCAGATCAGGGAACGTAGTGACATGACTCTTCAGTGGTCTTAAAAAAATAAATAAATCTTTCTTGTCATGGACCATATCTGTAATGTATGCTAAAGTGAAAGGATGAATTTCTAAATGGACTGGATTTTGTATCAGGCCCTGTTTGCAGTGTTCATATATAAGGACTCAGCATACAGCTCTTGTGCAAAAACTTATTACCCATTTTTCTGCAGCAGCAAGAATTCCTTGGAGAATTACCCAGGTTCCAGGCTATACTTTTGTAGTCATGGTAATGTTGTCTGTGGCTAAACTGCAAAGATTTGGCATGCTCCATTTTTTTGTATTGTAAATGGGATTGTACATGTGCTAATGGTGGTCCAATGCTGTGTACGTATGTCTTTAAGCCCCCTCATGGCAGGCAGACACTTTCAGATTTGACTTTTGGAAGGAGTGCTTCTCTTTCCAATTTCTTTATTTGTTTCAGTATTATTTTTTCACCACTGTTATGAAATTAGGTGGTTGTTCCTAATGTTTTCCTGGGGGAAAAAAAAATCCCATTAAGCAACTAGCAGCCTTTCCCCTTGGCTCAGTAATTGAAAGGGGGGGGAACCCCCTTGCACATGCAACCACTGGGTGTCCTTTCACAGCAATACTTTTTTTTCTGGTGCCTTAGTTCTTTTTAACGTTTGAGTCAGGAGAAGTTGCCAAAATGTAAATTACGACTAGCATACTTTTCCCTCCCACACAGAGCAGATTATTGATAGCGGATATAGCTTGTTCCTTGTGTAGTTGCCTTGCTGGCTGCCTTATTCTACTAGTTTGTTTAACACACCTCAGCGCGCTCTGTCCATCGTTCTGTCTTCTCTTCCTGGAGAACTACAGACACGAGCATTTTCTTTTGGTATTCACAACTCAGGGGGGAAACGCTAGGTAGAAATCCTATGTAGTTTTAAATGTAGCTGTGTGAGAGCTTGTATAGAAAGAACATGCCATCTATGATTCCCATGTTATTTTCTTGTTATAAATTTATGCTGTATTACTAAGTCATGCTCATCATGCGTGTTGTAGTACTTTAGTTGCTCTATCTCTGTTAGGGCAGCTGTGAGCTAAATATTTTATTGGAAGCAGAGAGATTCTCAAAATCAGGCTGCTGTCTGGACGCAAGTTGCTCTTTGTAGTTGTGTTCTGTTCCTATAAATTCTTTTGATGCCTGCAAAGTTTTGCCCCAGCTGGATATGCCATTTTCTCCATCCTAGAGATTGCAAGTGGAGAAAAAAGAAAAAAGGAGAGAGCGAGCAGGAAAGAGATGAAGAGAATAAACAAGTTCTGCAATAAAGAGGCATTCTGAGTGGGTATTTCATATCGTTTCTTATTGGTCAAACCCCTTCCATGATTTGAGAGGGTTAGAGATGCAATTTATTCATTTTCTCCAAGGGAGAGGCTGCATTTAATATGTGCTTTCCAGGATCCCCTGTTAAAGTATTAGGCAATAAAATCCTTGACTGTACGGTAGTTGTGGTTATCATTTCCCCCAGGTAGTGAAAATTCTGAAATTTATTGTTGTTTAAGTTTTCCCTTCGCACAGATCGGAGTGGCTGTAGCAGCGTATAAAGGACTGTTTTTCTCCACGTGCATGTATTTGTTGGTGACCCAGCTCCGCTCTCTGATGAGCTCTGTGCTGCAAAGCCCTCCACAGTTGCTGACTTGGCATCTGTGAGCAAAAATATTGGTGAAGACTGAGTTGGATCTGTTGTGAGCAACTTGCTTTGCTCCTCCTTGGCAAAAGCTACAGGTCTGCCTGGGCTTTGGGTGGTTTTGCGGTATAGGGAGAGATACCCCAGCTGGACTGAACAGCAGAAGTGATTTATGGTGAGCCCACTTACACTATTGAAAACTGCTCTTTCATACAGACACACCTTTCTTCAGTGATGTACTTTTAATGCACGTTGGCTAAACGGGGTGGTATTAAGAACAGGCTTATTTGCCGTGAGCCGTTGACTCCTCCTGAGTGCAGATATGACTGTCTGCACTAATTGACATTGCAGATCTTCACGGCATTAGCTGGGGCTGGGGTAGTCTGAGGTTGTAAATGAGGCATGGTTTGTGGGGGGATGCGAGATCCTTTTTTTAGACCAGCTGAGAAAGCTGGAAAAAGCAGGCGGGCTTGGAGGCGTGGACGGGCTGGCTGAAGCTCGCCTTGTTCTAATTTTAGTTTAGCAAGGACAGGCAGCACCTTCGTTTGAAAAGAGGGAGCTCAGCCTGGCAGCTGCCTGCAAATGGGCAGCAGTGGTGTCCGGGATCTCCTCTTGCGGGTATCCTTTGCCAGCACCTCACCGTTGCACAAGTCTGACCGGCTTTTTGTCCTGGGTGGACTGTAGCACTCAAGTGTATAAGGGGGAAAAAATGCTTAAAAATGTGATAGTTCAGAAATCAGAGAGGAAAATGATACGAGTACCTCATTTGTTATTATTTTTTAAAATTTTCCGGTTTTCAGCCACTGTCGTGAATTTTGAGTGTGGGGAGTTAACACAGCTGCTGACATTAGAGGAGGCAGAGATGGGCACCTCCACCTTCCCGAGGAGCATCGCTGTTGGGATGAGGGCAGGGGTGTGAGCACACCAGCCTCCCCGGGCTAAACACAGCCTTCCTGAATATGCCACTAAGTTGGCTTTGCTTTATAGGTCCAGACTGGGAGAGGTGTCAATGCCTCTGGTCTGAAAAGAATTTAGTGCCTGAATGGATTTATTTAGCACCTAAGACTGTGTTTCAGCCTGGGTGAGGGGTGAAGGCTTGTGGAGGAAGGGAGAGGTGGGTGATCCCCTATGCTGCAGGTGACAACACCAGGCAGCATTAGAAAACACAGGTCTTAGCAACTTCTGGAGCAGTGAAAGGTAAAAAAAAAGGTAACTGGTTCTTCAGGTAACCCTCGCCTCAGATGTGTGGGCTTCAGCACTGGAGCAGCAAAAATAAAGTGTTAACTTCATCCCTGGTGCAATACTACTGGAATAAAAGTTATGCCATGAAGAAACTCGCCTTGCATCAGCCTGCAATGGGCTCTGCACCACTGCCGACTGCGCACTGTATTTTATTAGATGTTGGAGTATGAAGCTATTAGCAAAAAAGTAAGGAAAAAGACAGGTAACTAATGGTAAACAAACATAAGCTGCTATCAATGAGCATCTAATTTCTACCATTGTCTCATTCTGCCCTCGCGGATCACATTCCCACAGAGAGGAACTTGCATTGTTTCCTCCTGTTACGTGAATTTTGTAATTCACTGAATACAAACGTTGGTGCCAGATACCCTGAGGAAGAAGCCCGTGGTATTGAATCAGTAGTGCAAGAATGCATTTGGTGGTGTTTTATTTGTCTAGAGTCTAAAATGCAAAATATTCAGCAAACTGTGTATCATTAGAGATGATACGATATCATCAGTCTGTGTGTCAAAAAAGTCTGAAAACGTAAGAAACTGATCCCTGGGGGAAGCCCATGAAAGTGGCTTTCTGCACCCCGAATGTGAAGGGCGAGAACATGAATACTTTCATTTGTGCAGCACGAAATACCTCCACGATCACAACCCCGTGCGCACGCAGCCGTTCGCACACAACCGTTGTACAGCGGCTGTGTTCCGGACCCCCGTCCCAAGGGGTTGCAGTGCCATTTAAAAGCACCCATTTCTTCCCATCCACAGTGGGGGCAGCCAGATCCCTGACTGCCCGGAGCCAGCTGGGTACCGGGGTGTAGGAGGGGGGACGGTGCTCGCCGCGGGGGACTGTAAAGCAGTTCTTCCTGGGGATGCTGCCGCACTGCTTTCCTCAGCACCGGCTTTCCTTCCTTCCCTCTTTCCTTGGTTTTGGCCCCTGGTGGTGTCCTAGCATGCCATGCCGACCCAGGGTATCAGGGTCCTTGTTAAACCAGCGTAGATATTTGGGGATAATTTGTTAGGGATGTGGCAGCTGGAGAACCTTGTGCTTCAGGTTTACTTGGTTAAGAAAGATTGGGGTGCGGGAAGGGAGAAAGGCAAACATTTCCCTTTTGCCTTTTTTCTTTGCCTGGAAGGAATATTTTATTTGAGGTGTTTTTTGTTTTTTGTTTTTTTTTTTTAAATTAAAGCCTCTGAGAAGTAATATTGCATCTTCCAAACAAACTGCTGAACTCAACTGCTTTTACCAAGCGCGTGCAATATTTTCCCCTCAGGATCCTTAGAGGCCCTGGAGTGCCTGCCTTGCAAAACCTGGGGCGGTGAACAGAGTCACTCCATAGGACACTCACAGAAAGTGATCTCCATAGGATACCTTTAGGCAGTGTGCTTACGTGTATTTATAAATACATATATACATGTAACACATAAAATTCTCTTTTGGTATGTTACTGCATACAGTAAGCAGAAAGAAAAACAACGCAGAACCGAGATATTGAAAGAGACACTGTCCAGCTGGCAAACTCTGAAAAAGAAAAACCAAAACCCTCTAAGAGGCACAGACACGGAACAGTTTTTATCATCGGCTTTCTCTTGCCGCTTAATACACGTGGTTATTTCTTTGTGATCATTTCAGATGCCTCAGGAACAATACGCACACCGGAGCACCATGCAGACCTCGGAAGGACCCCAGGTATACAAAGTGGGGATTTATGGCTGGAGGAAGAGATGCCTCTATTTCTTTGTGCTGCTCCTAATGATTTTAATCCTGGTGAACCTTGCTATGACCATCTGGATTCTGAAGGTTATGAACTTCACAATTGTAAGTAGGGGTTACCCTGAAAGGTCTGGGGAAGATGAGGGAGGGTGATGATCTTTCCTCTGAGCATGAATTCAGATACAGCTTCAATAACGGGGTGTTTTAGTTGCCATGGATAGCCATTATTACAGGGAGGAACAAATTTACCCAATGAACCTCTTTTTCTGCTGGAGATGTCTGCAGTATTGCCAAGCTGAGGAGTCAGCTCAGCGTTGCAAATTACATTCCTCCTACCTGATATTGAGAGAGATATATATATGTACATATGTAAACAATATATACCACCCTCCCCCAGTTTTGAATTATAAAGTGTTTTAAAATTAATGAAATAGGTTATTTTGAACTGGGGTGCAGGAATGGGTTTGAGCCTTTCTGTTACACTTTTTCTGCTTTTCTCCATGACTGGGAAGTTGAGAAACTTGATTTGCCTTTTTCTTAGGGAAAATTCATGTTGTTCATAATGACGTGGTTCCAGAAGCTTCGTGAAGAAAAATAAAATTTCCAGAGTGGCTCGCTGGGTGTGGTGTTTAGATGAAGCATATCTTTATCCTCGTTGTGCTGTGTTTGGTGCACATCAGTCCTGCCAGCAGCACTCCCTTGCTGCACAGACCCCCTGGCCAGGCTTAGCTTTCCAGAAGCCCGTAGCAAAATTTTGGGCAAGCTGTACTGGGAGGTAGATTGCACTGGGGCAGATGGTGCTTTCTGGGCATGGAGTGCTCTGTGCATCACTTGAACTCTGTTCAAACTGTTTTTGAGATCTTAAGGTGTGCCTTGACCTTGAATTGCCTTTTTACAGGGTGAGCTTCACCTCAACTGCTCAAACACACTGAAAGTCAGGACATAATGAACCAGGCACACCCCACTTCCAGGGCTAGTGAGCCTTTGTATATGGCAGGTCCTAGTTTTTCAGTAGATAATCCAGCCAAGCAGAGTGAAAATGAAACGATTGGTCCCCTCTTCTTCAAAGCAGTCATTGCCACCTTGGTCAGATGGAATTATTTTAAGATCATTTGAGTCTTCAGGAGAAACTAAGTTTGAGGCTTTAATCCTGGATTTACTTCATGAGAGAGCTGTAAGGCTAAATTCCCCTAGACCACTTTCAAGGACTTTCCCAGCCAGGCTCTGATGTGAGCAGCGTGTTTGAAATCTCCCGGCATTTCTTTCTCTGCTTTGGTCTTGTGAAGCCCTGAACAGCTGTGTCCAACATTATGTCATTAATGGGCCATGAGAAGTTGAGTAAACAATCTCTGACTCACTGTATCCAGCAGACAAAATGCTGTGTCAGGGGAACATGTAGCATTCATTTTCTCTAACGAGGATGCTGTCAAGGTGTGCAGAAGATTGCAATGCATGTGTGCTTAGGGAGGAAGCAATTATAAAGCAGTCATCCACAAAAAGCTCCTGTGAGTGGCTGAAGAGTGAGCCAAACTGGAACAATTAATGCTTAACCAGACCGGTTATTTAATCTTGGGAAATTGATGCCATTTCGATACATATTTTGTGCTGGATTGTGGTCTTTAGATGAATGTAGTTGAAAAGTAGATATTTCTGAGGTGATGGAAGACTTGGTCATATGCTGATCATACAGGCAGTGGTATGGGTATCAGCCCAAGCACAAAATAATAGGATTTCAGATTCCCACTTTTCAGGAATGCAACTTTATTTCTTTAGAATAACATAACCTCGGTATGTCAGTCCCATGCTTTCTGCTATTTGGTGGTGGTCAGTCTACTTTCTACAAGCTGCTTGGGAAGCCAGGTGAACTTCTCTGCTCCTTTCTCCCTCACGGCCTGCTCCTGATGCATTGCGTTTTGCAGGCCATCTGCAGAAGTGTCATCTCCTAGGGATACTTCCAGAAACCTCCCCCTTCCAGCAGGTCTCTCCGCGCCACTAGGATATACACTGGCTTTTTTGAGGATGCACTGATCTTCAAGCTCTTGTCTGATTCAGTTTCCTTAAGTAGTCACTTACCCTCTGTGACTCTGTGGGGATTAGTCCAGGGTAAAGTATATTTGTATATGGTTTTAGTTAATTTATATCTTCTAATGTTAGTAGACGATTAACAGCTTTTGGTGATAAAAACACAGATGGTAGCACTGAATCCTGCAGTGGGAACTGCTTTACCGTTATAGGCATGGCCGCACTAGTCAGGGTGTGTGTCTCTGACACAGCCAATTGGAAATAGATAGAAGAACAGAGCATGTAAAATGTGATCCTTGCCCTGGTATGCACCCGTTCATCTCCCGATCTCCTGCTGCTCTGCAGCCTCGCCAGCTGCTCTGGATCCTGCTCTGTAATCTCTCCCGCACAATTCCCTGAGGCTGAGAAAATCACTTTGATAAGTGTATTTTCAGAGGCAGACTTTTATCTCCAAATAACAAATGTAGGAAAATTCTCAAATAAGGAGATGCAAATACAGAAGATCTTTAATTTGTTCCTGTTCTGATAAGAGGATCTGAGAGTCCTTCTGGGGCGGGGGAATGATTCAAGCACTGTGTAAGCAATAGCTGCTGCTTAGCAGGTCTGAGTTACCCCTGTGCCTGCAGAGCAAAAAAGGAGCAGAAAGTCTGTAGTTCTGTTCTTGTGGAAAATGTAGTCTTTCCACTATATTCCCACCCCTGAGCTCTCCTCCCAGAACCTGAGTCTGTTCAACTCCGCAGGACAGTCCTGGCACGCACCAGAATTTAATGAGCGCTCATTATAGCCAATAAGTGCTCACAGTATTTTAATGAGCACAGCAAACCTGCTCCAGAAAACTTGGGGGTGTTTTAAATGCTGATAATGGGGAGCGGAGAAGGGAGGAGGAGATGAAGCAAGACAACCTCAGAGGAAAAAAAAAAACCACCTTCTCACACATGTTGTAGCAATACCATCCACTCCACTTCCACGTCAAGCCCTGAACTCCCTTTCTCTCCCCTCTGCATGCCCCGCTGGCTCGTGCTCCAGGAGACGACTCCTGTAAAATCAAACTGTAAGCTTCCAATCCATGGCTTTTAATAAGCAAGGCATCACTAATTTATTCTAGGGTTTGCTTTTATCTGAATGTCAAGGTTAAATAAATTTATGTGTGCCTATTGCTTTTTACACAGGGCTGTCAAAGCAGTGTCATATTCATGTGGGGCCGGTTGGTCACTGCCTAGTCTATCCTCTGGCGCAGTCATTCAGTTCTCATGTTGTATTTGATCCTCGATTTGTTTTAAATGCCTTTATCAGGCACAGGCTGTATGAAAAACAGGCCTGGAAGGGACCTCAAATATCATCTGCCTGTCCCACAGCTGGTTCCCTTAGCCAGGTCCATTTATCTACTTCATTTACATCAGTGCTGCACTGCTCTGGGACTGTGGGAAGCTCTGTGAAGGTTGCTACCTCTAAACCTTACTTTGATTTTTAAGCCAAACCACGGAATGAATCTGGACCAAAGCCACCAATTTGGGTTGAAACCCAAATGCACCCTGAAGGTGGCCTAACCTAATTGAGGTAGAAACCACCATCCAGCACTCAACTTTCCGATGATATATATATAGGTAAAGGGAACTCCGCTTCATTCAGATCTTGGACAAGCCTGGTAGAAATACGTGCTTTGCACATACTGGGTTTGGGGAGGAAAAAACCTAATGCCTGCGGGCTGTGTATGTGACTCGGCCGCCCAGTCTGCAGGTCCAGTGCAGGCTTGGGCTGTATCCTGCTGTCACGCCTGCGTGATGGAGGGCTCAAGCTCGAGCTGTGCAGAGCTCAGCTGAGGCCGGCACAGCCCCCGCAAGGGTTCGTACATGCCAATCTAATTACAAGGCTGGAACCAGAGCTCTTAACGACCTTCCTCTTTATGGTCCACCTGCATTAGCATCCAGTGATGTAGCTCTTTAGCAGTAGGATTGCCCATGACTGTGTATATAAGCACATGCATCTTTTATGATGTATGCCTATGATGTGCTGGGGATCTCTATTTCAGCTATTACTAGTGAGCTTAAACCATTTTTTAAAAGCTTCCTGTTGTATTAGTTTCTGAATATTACAACAAAAGAGGTGCTTACACAAACACAGCAAACCAATATCCCTATTTTAAACAGTACAAGGCTCAGAAGGCTCAGGTAATGGGCAATGACAGTGCATTGACCTCTTTCCACAAGGTTAACATACAATGCCTTGTATTTTAAACAGTGTTAGGAGTCTCAAGCATTATCCATTAGTACCCCCTTATTGCCTCTTAGGCAGCAGGAAGACCTCTAAACAGGAGAGACAAGAGCTGTGTCCTGTTGTGGCTGCATTTAAATGGCAAACGTCCACCTACTTGTCTGCCCATCAAACCACTGAAGATCCTTTGCTTTTCCTTTGCCCTTCCCTGGTGTTTTTATCCATAGCTTCCTGTTCGCATGTTTTGGATTGTAGGCTCTTTGGGACAGAAGCTGTTTGCGTATGGCATCCTGTAGTCCTATATATTGGCAGGTACTACCAGACTGTAAGAAATAATAAATAATATTTTTTCCCTAGTCAGTCAGCTTGCAAGGCTTGAAATTCCTGGAGAACTATCTTCTAAGAATCATCCAAAACGAAGGCTCCATAATAGTCTTTTTAAGGAAAATATTCTGCAGCTTTGGTATTCAGGAGGCCTTTCATGAGCCAAAGTTAACATCCTCCTCCGAGCCAGGAGAGCATGTATTGCTTCCAGATTTGTGCAAATCCATGCAGACTGCTTGTGCCTTCTATCTGTGCACCTTTGAGGAGATACAATATAGAAATGGGCAGGCAACAACCTGCTTCGTTCCATCTTCCTTAGGGTGCAGAGAAGGGGGATCTTCCCTTCCTGGCCTGGTCAGGCTGAGGTTGGGGTGCTCCCTAACCACAGCATATGCAAACTCTGTTCTCCTTCCAGAACCACGCAAGGTTTTTTGAAGGTTTGGGTCCTTTACCATGAGGTTCAACCATATTTTCTGATTTCAATTGAACAGGAACAAATGACTGTGATTGTTCAGATTTTTCCTTTTTTTTCTACAGGCTGCA